GAGAGAGAGAGAGAGAGAGAGAGAGAGGGAGAGAGAGAGAGGGATGAAGAAGTGAGTATCCGCGGCATTTCGGACAAGTGTCGCCCAGGGGTACCCCCCGCCCTTGCATTTGGACAGTTGAGTCCTATCGAATGTCTTGCTCGATCAACGTTCATGTGCCGTCATCCACAGGGACAAGTTCGGACCCGGTGCTGAAGACAACGATGACGATGACGACGGAGACGAGGAGAATGACATGGAGACCGAGCGTGAGAAGAACGCCCGACTGAAAGCTGAAGCAATGGCCTCCAAGGACGAGGTGGGTGCGGTGGGCAACAGCTGTTACTGTCGTTGGCGCTGGCGCTGTAGTGTGCAGATGCCAATGCCTCCTTCTACCGTGTTTGATATAAATTTGGATGTGCCTGCTGGTTGCTGGTTTGGCTGAAGCGGAACCGCCCGCGACGAACCGAATGCTTTGTTTTCTCCAACCCAAGTCACCATTTTTGTTTTTTTATTTCGGCGTCGGGTGCCTGCTCTGGACTGTTTTTTCCGGGTTGTGTTTGCCCTTCGACTCCGCCGTACTCTCAACTTTCACAGAGCATTTTGCGGCGGTACTAGTCTATTTGTCTGTCATACACATGTGCCCCCCTTGCCCGCCTTGCACACTCCCCGTTCATTTTTCACTTACATTCAAACGACCCCTTTTGTGTGGAAATGCTTCTGCTCCCCCTCCCCTTATCAGCGACTCTCGCTTCAACTAGCCCTTGGTATCGTTGGAATGCTCGTACCTCTCCAATTCCCTCCCGAATACGTTGTCTTTTTTTTCGCAATCAACCAGGATGAGGAGGGCGACGAGGACGAAGAGGGAGGAGGAGGGGGAGGAGAGAAGAAGAAGAGGCTGGACGCCAACGGAGAGGAAATCGAAGACGACGACGAGTTCCTGAGGGAAGCCACCAAGCGCAGGGAGGACCAGCAGGTAGGCGTTCTCCTCCGCCTTCCCGGCCGCCGCCGCCGCCGCCGCCACCGTCGTCGTCGTCGTCGTCGTCGTTGTTGCTGTAGGCCTCGTTGGCGTTGGTGTGCACCAGTCCCGAACCATATTTCGAAGCCTGTGTGTGTGCTGATGAGCGTGTCTGCTATGATGAGAGTTTGGTGATGAATGCACAAGGTCGAGGATGCGCTTTGGTATATGCTCAAGTTGGTACCGATGTCGACGCTAGTGTGTGAGGCAGGAACTTTTAGTTAGAAAATTCGGGGGAAGGCCATGTCTGTGACGCAACCCCTGCCTCTTTATTGATGCAGAGCCTCGACTTCTACTATTGTGCCCGCTTTGTTCGCTACACAGCCCGTACTCTCGATTCCGCGTANACGTTGTAAACCAAGCCAATTCACTTCGTGAACTCGGCAACCAGGTTACCGTTTTCTTTCACCTCTGTTTTTTTTTTTGGCGGTAACCATAATGGTGGTCGAGTAGATCATGTTGTGCGGGGTGGAGAACCCTCACTCCGCGCAAGGGGGATGATCGCACCACGTTGTGTTAAAATGGTCAAGCACCCTCGAGGCAGTTACACAGTGCTTACAACTGTCTCTGGAAGTGAAAGCACCAGAAAATAAATTAAGTCATACGCAGCTGTCATCCGTACGCAAGGAAGTAAGCACAAGATGCCGAACACCCTTAGCAGGATGCAGCGCACCCTTCATGCGACTCGCCGAATATCTCACGGCGCTTCGCGCTTGGTGATGTGAGAGCCTGGTCCGGTGAGAACCCGGCGTGCTCCGTCCCGGCTTTGTAGGGATGCGAGGTCAATGGTCTAACGACTACGGCATGCACGACAATGAGTACCCCCCCCCCTCGGTGTTTGCCATCGGGATTGGGTTTTTGTCGCTTGGCAACGACGTTGTAAAACAAGCCCCCCCCATTGGGACTGGGTTTTCGTCGCTTGGCAACGGACGTTGTAGACCAAGCCAATTCACTTCGTGAACTCGGCAACCAGGTTACCGTTTTCTTTCACCTCTGTTTTTTTTTTTGGCGGTAACCATAAGGTGGTCGAGTGGATCATGTTGTGCGGGGTGGAGAACCCTCACTCCGCGCAAGAGGGATGATCGCACCACGTTGTGTTAAAATGGTCAAGCATCCTCGAGGCAGTTACACAGTGCTTATAACTGTCTCAGGAAGTGAACGCACCAGAAAGTAAATTATGTCATTTACGCAGCTGTCATCCGTACGCAAGGAAGTAAGCACAAGATGCCGAACACCCTTAGCAGAATGCAGCGCACCCTTCATGCGACTCGCCGAACACCTCACGGCGTTTCGCGCTTGGTGATATGAGAGCCTGGTCCGGTGAGAACTCCGTCCCGGCTTTGTAGGGATGTGAGGTCAATGGTCTAACGACACGGCATGCACGACTATGAGTACCCCCCCCCCCCTCTTCCATTTTTTTTGTACTATCGCGTCGGATCAGACCCGAAACCGCAAGGAGTTCGAGGACATGGGGGACGCGGCGCAACTCCGAATCAGGGGTTTTCCACAGGGGCGTTACGTGCGGATCCGGTTCAATGCCCTACCCGCAGAGTTTGTCACCAACTTCAGGTGTGTTGCCATGCGTGTGGAGAGGACTCGAACCTTGAGCGTGACGTCATCCCCGGCTCAACTCGTTGACTTTGCACGTCAGAACTGACCTCCAAAACGTTTCCCCAATCTATACCCGACCCCGACCCGAACCGACGCGATCCGAACGTACACAACCCGATCGAACCTACACACCCAAAGGCCGGAGAACCCCGTGATCGTTGGGGGCCTGATGGCGGCGGAGGAGGGTCTGGCCATGGTGCGGACGCGGGCGAAGCGGCACCGGTGGCACGGCAAGACCCTCAAGAGCAACGACCCCCTCGTTGTGTCGGCCGGGTGGAGGAGGTTCCAGACGCAGCCGGTCTTCGCCACCGAGGACCCCAACGAGCGACAACGGTAGTTTTTTATGCGTGCTTGTGTGTGCGCTTTTTTTTTTTTTTTTTGTACTTTTTTCTGTGTTTTTTTTTTTGCACGTTGGTCGATGGAGGTGTGTTTTGATACGATTTCGGTGTTTTTTTTCATGCGATTTCCGCTTGTTGTGTTGAGGTGAGGGCGGGTGGTTATAGAGTTTGGGCCTTGGCGGTATTCTCTGTGTTGTGTGGATGGTACACGTGGACCGGCCCGACTGCCATGCTGTTATTCATGCATGCCTTCCGCGCACGGTGCCGGCAACAAGCACAGCAGCATTCAGGGGGTCGGCGACGGTGGGTTCGGCCCCACGCCCGGGAGTGGCGGCCTTGTGTGGCAGCTGAGGATGCCACAACAGTGAACACCACGGGGCAGAGCATAAGTTTTTTGAGAATGCGTTAGAGGGAAGGAAACCTCCCCCGCGGTGTTTTTTTCTCGAGAGTGCCGGCGTAGAGGTCGGCAAAGGCAACGTCGTGTTGCGGTCGTTGGCGGGCTTCCGCGTTGCTTCCGCGGGATTCTCCGGTCTCGACAGACAGGTTGCGGTCCGTCGGGCTCTACGGCAAGGAGGGGCAACCGGGCAGAGAAAAGGGTTGATAGAAGCCTCTTCATTACGGAGGTCTTGACCAAAGCGTAGAATAGAAGCCCCTTCATTACGGGGGTATTGACACACCACAGCACCGTACAGCCTACCCTTTTGTGGCTTGGTTTTCGTTGGCTCTGATTCCTCGCTAAGCGACGAGGCAAGGGGGGTTCATCCGAGCTTGACGCGGTTTCTCCCGAGCCTCATTTTGGGTACAGTACGTCTAACTTGCCACCTTTCCATTTTTCCCGGTACGCGTCTGAATCGGATTACCCGTCTCGACATTCTATTTTGTTTTTTTTTTCGTGCGCAGTACTTATGACCAGGCGCCTGTGTTCGGGAGTTTTGCAGGCGTTGACTCGTGTACGTGTTTTTGTTGCGTGCCGTCTTTTTTTGTGCCCTCCTTCCCTGAACGAGTCGTTTCGAAGGTACCTCAAGTACACTCCCGAGCACATGCACTGCTTCTGCTACTTCTACGGACCGATCATCCCGCAAAACACGGGCATCATGGCCTTCCAGAGCATGGGAAACACCACCACAGGTGAGGGTCTCAGCGGGGGGGAGTACCTCAGCGTTGCGACTGGCGGAGTGCTGTGTACTGTTTTTTGGGGGGAGGGGGGGTTGTGTGTACCAGTTTGTGCTGCTCTCACCCCGATCTGTTTTGCTGTGTGGGGCCTCTTTTGTCGTTGGTGCCCTTTTGTTCGGTCTACATGCAGAATGCTCCTCCAGAAAACGAGCATGGGTAGCGCGAGGATGGCACGTTGTTGAACATGGGGGTATGATACTTTAATGAAAGCGGGGAGGTCGACGACGAACAATCAGGCGCCGAGCGCACGAGGGGTGGGATGACAGAACGCCGCCATTCGCAAGAATTAGTCAGACCACATACTATATTTAAACTTGCAAGTGTACCAACGCGTGAGCCAATACCCAACCGTCTTTTTTTTCCTTTGTATTTTGTGTTCATCTCACAGCGTCCCGTCCGATCCTTGCTGAGTACCTGAAGAGATACTGCGTGTTACAGCCCAAAAGGTTTTTCTGATCGACACCATAGCACGACGGCGGTCGACGCAACAACTAAATATGGAAGTAGTTGTTTGTGGCGCCTGCCAATCGGGTTGAATGATGTCTGCTCACGCGATCGAATTGGACTATCTCGTTTTCGCGATCAATCGTTACAGGGTTCCGAGTCGCCTTGACTGGCACCGCCCTCGAGCTTGACGCCAAGTTTGAGGTGGTGAAGAAGCTCAAGCTCGTGGGGTACCCGGACAAGATCTTCAAGAAGACTGCCTTCATCAAGGGCATGTTCAACTCGGACCTGGAGGTACCGCAGCCTAGGCAATGCTTTCGCACGCCCTCGAGTAGTCGTTTCACACTTTCGTGGTCTGTGTTGTCGGGTGACATGTGCATCAGCTTTTGGTTTCGGTGATGTGTTCTTTGTTCCCTCTTCAGCTCTCTCGCTTCCATATGCTCAACCATGCGTTTGGATTTGATACATTCTGCTTTTGCTTCGTGTTGTCCCCCCCCCTTACTCTCGGGCCTTTTCCCCCTTACTATTGGTTCAGGTCTTCTCCATTGCGATTGGGAGGCTCGTCGTTTAGCGTCACCCTCACGCCGTGCTACGTCGGCTTGCCAGGCTCGGCGCCGCTGCCGATACACCGCTCCTATGTGTTTCCTCGACTACGAACCCGACCTTTTCGCTGGGAGAAAAACAAAGACGTCCTCGTGCTAAGTCGCTCTCCGTTCCTGCAACACGTCTTGATCCCTCTCTCCCTCCGTCCCATCCCGCTGCCTCCGTCCCCGCTTTTTTTTCTTCTGTCTGAATTCGACGGTATCGTGGCGGCGCCAGGTGGCCAAGTTCGAAGGTGCGGCGGTGAGGACCGTGAGCGGGATCCGGGGGCAGTTGAAGAAGTCGGCCAAGGGGGGCGAGCCCGGCCGGTGTCGGGCTACCTTCGAAGACAAGATCCTCAAGTCGGACGTCGTCTTCTGCAGGCTGTGGGTGCCGGTGGAGATCAGAAAGTGAGAGGGTCACCGTTCGTTCGTAGGGGGGAAGGCAGGCAGGGATTGTTTTGTCGCTCTTCGAGTGTACAGGCCGGAGCGTTGTGCGTTTCAATTGAAGCCGGCGCGTTTTTTGGGGCCAGGGTGGGAGTGTTACGAAGGAGTCGCACGGTAGATGTTGGCTTTGCACCCCTGCCATGAGAACCACGCCGTGTGCGTATGTGTTTTGTCGAACTTCAAGGCATGCCGCCTGTTACGTGGTCGAGATCGCATCCTGGTCTAACTGACTTGCGGGAACGATTGGCGCTACACTCGACAAAATGTGGACCGCATCCACAGCAAATGATTGGTCAAGCAGGACTCGTGCCTCTTGTGCTTGCCCTATCGTAAGACCGCCTTGTATTTGAACGAAAAATGTGCGCGCTGGAACATGAGGTGTGTGTGTGTAGCATACGGTCGCGTTTTTTTCGTCCCGGTTCGTTTTTTGGCAATTCCCTTTCCTCAAGCGTGCCTTGAATCTTTTGGTGTGCTATTCTGCATCCCCGTTCATAGCCTTGAAAAGGTGAGTGAATGTTTTTGGTTTTGTTCTTCGGCATCCCGGTACACGGACTGTTGCCAAAGTTGCTGCTGCATGTGTTGTATGGTTGATCGGGCAGGTACTACAACCCTGTCACGTCTCTGCTGGAGAAGGGCGAGTGGCAGGGGATGCTCAACACGGCGCAGCTGCGACGGGCGCAGGGACAATCGGTTCCTGTCAACAAGGTGCGGGCAGGGACATGTCGTGCGCGGTTGAGCGGGCCACGTCTTGAGGTCGGCAACACAGCCGTGTTCAGGGGAGCAAGCAAGCTGCCCGGCAACTTGCGGCAGGAAACGTGCATCGTCAACCACCATCCCCAGCAACACCTGGTTGAATAGCGGTGCCCCTCAGCAGACAGCTCCAAGTTGTAGCTGGCAACCGACGGCTGTTGGATCGCTTTGCGAACCGTCGCTTGCTTTCCGTTTTGTGTCTCCCGCCTCCCGTTTTTGTTGTTGTTGGTTGTATTTTTCCTCACGCTGTCCTTGTGGCCGTGCGCGTGACCCCCCCGCCCGCAGGACTCCCTGTACAAGCCGATCGAGCGGGCCCCCCGCAAGTTCAACTCCCTGCCCGTGCCGAAGAAGCTCCAGGCGGCGCTGCCGTTTGCCTCTAAGCCCAAGCTGGCGCCCAAGCGCAAGAAGAAGGGCTACCTCAGCAAGCGGTGAGAGGGGGAGAGAGAACGGGGCGGGTTGATGCGGACTTTCGGGCGTCATGACGGAGGAAGCAAGCAGGGAGGAGGATGGGAGGGAGGCAGGGAGGGATGCAAAGGGGTCGGGGTGATATAAGACTTCTGTGGCGGTTCGCGTGCGGAAATTGAAGAGTGTGGCGTTCGTTGACGTGGCTCAGTCCGTGAGCGGGCGCACGGCCCGAGGGAGGGGTGATCCCCCCGGGGTTATACATACGCGTTACGACAGTATCCGAATCGTAGCCGGGTCGGAGAGGAACCGAGCGAGGTTGCGTCGTCCTCCCCCCC